CTCCGTTATCCTAGGAGCTCCGAAATGGACAGAGTGGTTGTAAGCTATTTCCCCCCTTGGTTTCGTCGAAACCCTCTCGAACTGGTTCACGAACAATATCCTTACGTCTTCCAGCAGTCTCTCCCACATCCGAAAAAATCTGTACGGAGTTTGTAGCACTTTGTAGTTTTAATAAAGTCCTTGTACTAAGATGGGATGGCTGTGCGACTGTATGTTAGGCCAAAATTGTATTCGACTGATGCCGTAAATTATAGTAATTGGGTCACACTAGTTGTAAAGGTAGGTAGAGGTGACAATAAACGGGGATGGGTTGGCGTGGGTAAAGATCCAGGTTGCGATATTACTCTCCGTATATCGCCGCTATATTAGATGCACTGCAGGGAGACTGTGATGCCATAGTGATCCCTGATAAGTCGAATAACTGCAAATTGCACTAAAAGTTGTGAAAAGTACCGAAAATGCTACCGTATTTTAATCTAATAAAATTTTGAAGGAGTAGAGCAGTCTTACCGCTATGAGCAGCAGTCGTGAGAAGAGACGGGCTATAAGATGTGCAGCACGTGATATTGTTTGTGGAATACCAAATTCTCAAGAAGATAGGATACTCGATTTGCCTTCAGTTTCATCGGTACCTGCTTATGAATGCTTTGCTGAAAGGATTTCGGAATCAAGGTGATCAGTCTTCTGTTTTAATGCTTCTTGAGCAAGCGTTCCTTTGTTGCCTTGTTTCTCGGTATTAATCATGCATAACCCTTCATTATTTATTTATTTATATCTATTCAATACGCTGTGAAAAACCACGCCCAAAAGAAAACATTACAAATTCCATGACAGGCGGAACTAAAAAACGGAAAACAATGGCAGCTCTGCGAGTAGTTGTTCAGCTGCCGATCGTCTAAAAGATGTCAAAGCGCCTTAGAGGATGGGTTTTTATAAGGTGTAAATTACCTTTTGGTTTTTAACAGGTTGATAGGCTTGCTTATTAATCATACATAGGCGCAATTCGGCTTGGTGGGGGCACCAAATTTTACCAGCTAAACTTGTATAGGCCATGTTGTCAAGACCTGTAAATTCCTTTGATAAGAGTGGCTCAATCGAACAGTTTCACCGCTTCACAGGAGTTTACAGGTCTGACCCAAGTGGGACTTATTGCCGTGAACCAATAAAAGGAATTAGAGAAAGTGAAAAACGCCCACCTATATGTAAGACCAGAGTGGTAACAGCATAATTTAAACAATAGTTATACACAGTAGGAATATATGCTTGAGGTATATATATAATAATTGGTGCCTAATAGAGTGAAATAGTTTCTGTCCCGAATGATTCGTTCTCAGCAGATTTTTGTAGTTCAGACTAATGGTAAATGGTACTTTGAGGAACTCGCGGCTAGCGCACGTAGTTTTCGGGTATGTGGTAGATCACTTATTCCAGGAAACTGCTGTTTGTCTCCAATCCGTTAAGAATCGCTTACACGGCCGTGAGATTATATAGATTCAAATTTCCTCTCACTAGGAAAACTATTATGACACCTTTTGACAGCTCATGATAAGCCTTTTTTTGAATGTCACTTCTAATCCCTTGACAGCTGCTGATAAGTTTTTCTCCCCATAAGTTTTTGTGAGGTCTACGCCGTGGTCCATGGCATGGAATTTCCAAGGACCCTACTAATGGATGATAAGACAGTGCGAGTGGTTGCAGTTCTTCGCAGCTCGCCTGAGCTATCACAAGCTTCGTCCGCCAGGAGGGTACATGACCAATGGCAAAATTATGAATGTGCGGATCCCAGTGGCAAAATTATGAAGTACGGCTTTCTTCATCAGAATGATGTGCGGCTGCGATGCCTCCGGCCAAGGAGATCCCTGCTTCGTGGAGGTGGAGGATCCCTCAGCGGTTACTTACCGTTCTTGTCAGGCTGATGAGAAAAGCATCAACGGAAGGGATCTATTGAGAAGATCAACGTAATGATAAACCCCCCTTCGCAGTCACATCAAACCTTATTTTTGGAATGCGGTTGCATTCTGTTACTTCAGTTACAGGACCGGAGTGCTTATGAAGCCGTGTGTATTTCAATGACTTTCGTGCGACCACACCATGTGTCTTATTCTGTGTTTGATCCTCGCTGTCGAACATGAACTAATTTACTCCTGCGGAGGGTTTAGAAGGCTCAGTTCACTTGGGCGGGAGACCAGTCGGGAGTCACCCCTTCGGCTGAATGCGCCGGAAGAGCAAGCACTATGCCACTCGCCACTCAGCTTTTGAAATTGTGATACAGAACAAAAACGTACTAATTCATTCGACTTGCATTCCGAGCTCATATTCATTAGCCTGAGAAACCAAGAAGGACAAAGGTCTTCTCCAGTGATGGCGAATCTCAGGTCAATTCTAGACTCTCAAATCACTAGTGGTTCGTTTAACCTGAGAGTGCTCCTTTTCCTGCTCTTTTGTCAATTCACGGGACTGGCTTTTCTGATGTACATATTTTTTTTAATCAACTTTGCTGAAGCTTCTCGTTCTCGAGTGGATTCAAACTGGGAAACTGTATGGGTGCGAGTTTGCAGTTCAGGGCTACAAGCTCTTTTCTGGAGACTCACAATGGTAGTTGACGACTTGACAATGCTGGACATAACTCTTTTGTGAGGCCCCGCTATCCGATGCTTCTCTACATGCTTATCACATCGACCTAGCTAAAGGAGCGTATTTCTGAATATCAAGGGCATGACATATGATGCGATGCTATAGCATGACGGTGATAATGCATAGATTCCTTGTTGTACAGTTCATTTTTCCCTTACCATTAGAAGGCTTAATGTGAAAACGTGAAAAGGCACGGAGTTTCATTGCAAAGGCTCCAAAGATCCAAAAAAACAATCCAGGGGTTCCAGCAAAATCGTTGGAATTGTTAGGATTTTCGAAGTCTTTTGCAATAAAATTTTCCACGTGTCATCATCTTTTCACATTAAGATGTCAATAAGGATCCGGGTAATTGTCTCATGAAGGTTTCTGTTCTCATAAGTGGTTTCTCCCAGCGATCGATGACTTTATTTGTGGTTTAATGGGCATAGCGGTCAGTTGGTCCTATTTCACAACACATCGTGCACAGAGTAAACACATTCAAATGCGCACAGCATGAGGTGCCGCCTCCTGAGGTCACCCAAACTCTCATTATAATTATGATGTGCTCGCGACCTTACCAGACAGCTTCTATTGTTCGACCCATCCGACAATATCAAGTAGAATTATTTGCATGTTTTTGTTATTGCATGGTTCAGAGTGATAGGACCTACTGAACGCCTTTTTTTACTTATGATTTCTCGGGGCAAATTATTTTCCTTTTCACTGTTTCATTTTACTTGGATTTTTTTTTCGTCTTTACATTTCCGGTCGTATGATGCAAGTCGATTATTTATGACATGCATGTAGGATTCATACATAAAAAGAACTTGGAAACAATTAAAAATAAGGAAAAGACAATTCCCGGCACTATTTACCCTTTACTGCCCCAATCCGAAAACAGGCCAGTTTTGAGCGACTTTTTCTGCGTATGGTAGAATTGGCTGAAAATTTCTTCACTGAGGTAGTTTTGACCTCCTGACATGAATATCACAATACGCTAGCAAAAAATTCCCCCCGGCGCCCGCGCCATACCGGCGACCGGCCGCTAAAATACTCATTCACAATTCGCTGAAACTGTTGCTAGTAGTGTTGACCTTCCTGAACACGGATATTACATCCGTCAGCCTGAATCTCTGCGCCCCGCGTAAACAGGCGCTGGCGACCAAAAACACTCCAATCACCGGCGCTGTGGCGCAGGCCGCCAGACGACTAAGCGAATGTCATATTCGTATTCAGGAGGTCAAAATACCCCAGGAGACAACATTTAAGCCGAATCTGTCCACGGAGAAAAAAGTCGGTCAGAAACTGGCTCAATTCTGGATGGTTACAGTAGAGGGTAAATAGTGCCCAATTCCCCAAGTGAGAGTAAGTTGAATGAAGCAGCTAGAAGATTTTTTGTAATGTAATTTTTTCCTCACTAAAAATGTAATTTTTTCCTCACTGCTAGTGAATTTTCTTTATCCATAACAAGTTCACTTTTTCCTATTATTCAGAGTCCCCACCATTTGATATGTCGACTCTTCCGAGTCAAAAAAAGGAATAAAAAAAATGAGAGAAATACGGTCAAGGGCCAAAAATTCACCAGCTCATCAATGTTTAGCAACGAAGGAAGGCTTCGAACTTTTGTGAATAGTTTTCAAAGAGATAACGGAGCGAAGGAAGGCTTCGAAACGTATTCTAAAAAAGTTCGAAGCCAAGCGTCCAAAAGGTCCAACAAGCTCTCCACAAAGTGTTCCTCCAATATTTCAATGCTTAGCACCTTTTTGCTTAGCAGCATTTCACATCCTCCGTCACCGAGAACGTGTATTGGCAGCACTGGATCATGAAAGAAAACCCAAATTTCGTGGGGACAGATAAATTCATGACACACCATGTGTTCACGCGGTACGGAACGAGTTGAATGTACTTACTAGCGAGCCAATACTCAAAAGCGTTTTTGTAATTTTTGAGAATTTCTGGCTTTTTTAGTTGTAGATTATTGTGGTATCCCGTTGCTGAGAAATTTGGCTAAACCACAGGAATCCTGAGTTACGGGCAAAAAAAAAACCGTTCTCGAACCCACATCTCTCGCTTCGCGCGTGTGCGTAATGGATAGTGCTCCCACATGGTCAGCATGAGGTGCGAGTTCGAGTCCTGTCTGGGGTCTGACTTTTGCCCACAACAGCATTCTTGCTGTTGTGGGCAAAAGTCAGACTCCAGAGAGGACTCGAACTCTTATAACTTCTTATAACTTTCGGAACGCGAGTGCGACGTCAAACAGCAGTTATCGTCAAAATTTCTTCAAAACCTGTTAACGCCATACTTGAAACTAGACAGTATTCAGACTATGAATGCTTGTTTTCTTTTCTTTTCCTTTCTTCCCTTTTTTTGCTCCTCACCACTTATTTTCTTTTTTTAGTGCACTTAACAAGTTTGAGGAAGATGCACGAGTTGATGATATTCTCATAGTAAAAGTGAAACGGTGTGATATCGTGGGTGCTTATGTGAAGCCGTTATGTTTTGCTACACGAATAAAACGTGATTTAGAGTGGCTGGATATACAGGTGAGTGCAATTTTTTTCCTTTTTTTCCATTTTTACATTTCAAAAGAAATAGTCCACATAATAACAACTGGTTAGGCTGTTCATCTATGTTAAATGAAATGATGTTGATCTATGTAAAATCGGACGTTATATTATGTATAATGCAGATAGACTTGTTTTCGCCGAATTCGGGCAGGCTGGAGTGTGTTCTAAGGGCTAGATGGATGTTGGGGGTTTTTACTGTAGGAGGACGCTATGAATAGGCTGGAATTGGGTAAATCATTCGGAACATCGCGGCAAACTGGGACACGGAGTAAAAACACATGAACGTGAAGGGGAAAGTCCTCGATGGATGCGAAGGGGAAGGAGAACATTCGAAGTTAGTCTTGGATTGGAATGGCCTTGTTGGTTATTTTGATCTATTGGGGCACTATTCAACTATTACTATCCCAGTTTTCCGAAAACGGGCTGGGTTTTGATCGACTTTTTTCTGCGGGGGCAGATTTGGCTGAAAGTTGGGTTCTAGGGGCTACATCGTCGACCTTGCTGTAACATGAATATCAAGTTCCGTTTCCTTCCCCGAAAATGCCCTGGCGCACGCCGCCCCAAGGTACCCTGGGGATCACGGAGATGCGCGGCGTGAGAGTTCTGGTACCCAGGGGTAGTTCGAACCGTATTGAAAACACGAAATATCACATCCGCTCGGCCTGAAACTGCTCGAAGATCGCGCCACGGGCGCCGGCGCCAAAATGCCCCAATACGCTGGCGCCTGTGGCGCGGGCGCCATGCACTTTCAGGCCAGATGGATGTTATATTCGTGTTCAGGAGGTCGAATTACCTCTATAACCCGAATTTCAGCCAAATCCGCTTTCGTAGAAAAAAGTCGATCAAGATCCGCCCTGTTTTGGCAAAACTGGGGTAGTAAGTTGAATAGTGCCTGATATTTTAGTTTCACAGCCGGTGGAATTCTCAGTGCGGGTCACAGACCTTCCATAACGCACTATTTAGCGGCTCGCATCCAGTATGACAGACCGTATTTTCTGAGATCTTTGGAAACGGGTTGGGTTGACTCGGTGGCCGTTCCTCAGTTTTTTTTTTATTTTTCGGGAACTGTTCTGAGGAGCGAAAACTCCATCCATATTCGGAGACCCCCTCCTCCGTGCTAAAGATGAAGTACAGTCTTATTCGCTGCGAAAGATGGAGCGTGTCAGGGGGATGAGCTTGGCGCGACACTAGCCCTTCTTTTCTCTTTATCTTCTCTCGGCAAGTGACGAGACTGTATAATATCGTTGGCATCAGTCGTTATCCACCTTGTATTGTCGTTTACCAGTCTCAACAACCAGTAGAGTACGGGCTAGATTCGCGCCAAACCCGGCCTCATTGGAACGCCCCTTCATCCGCAGCGAACAAGACCGTACATTAGTTAGTATTGCAAGTCGAATGATAATATAGTTTGTTTCAGCTGCTAACGCCTTTGTCAGCGCTTTCACGACGTGTTTCTGTAGGGCAATATTTAGAGGCTCGGATATCGAGCCTCAATCCGGTAAAGGTGGAGCTCCTTGAAGTATGTTTGATTCATACTACTTTTCCTTTTTTTGAGTAATCAATCTCAAGGATATTTGCTGTGTTTACTTTTGGTTGTTTGTTGAACCTTCAATCAAAAAATGTACTGCCAATATTTTCGTTCTTTCATTTATGACTATTGAGGCTCCACCGCTGTCGACGAATGAACTCCCAGAATATTTCAGGTTAGCCTTTGCTTGCTTTTTGCAGTTTGTTATGGCTTGTAGCGTTCAAAAAAGTAAAAGTATATGCATGTTAGTTGCTTTTGCAGGCGTAGCTGGGCGACCAGTGAGGGGGCACTTCGTATTATCGCTGCTGCACTAGTTCCGCTTTAGAAGTCTCTCTCTGGTGAAACCTGTGAATTTCTGTGAAGCTGGTAGCTGTAAAGCGTTTTTGCTTCACAAAGGTTGACAGGTTCGCTTCACAGCGGAACTGCAAAATGCCCCCTCCCTCTGTCGCCGGACTGCGCCGATCTTCATGTTCTTTTTGCTTCAAAGCAATAAATATTGCCTAAATTATAACTAGGATCATGATGAACTTTGGTTCCACTAGGTGTAGACCGTGTTTTACTTTTAAATACTCTTGCGCTGATTCAGAATTGGCCGTGAGTTGCCAAGACATACGGAATTCCGGGATTACATCGAAGATAAGAAGCTGATGCGGAACACATACCTAGCGGAAGCGCTTCATCTATCCACGACTCCTCCGTACTCGTTTTTGAAGCTGGAAGGCATAGAAATGGTATCGTGAATTTACTCGCTCTCTCAGTAACCATTTAAAAACATTTTGCGAATGCAAATCGTTGTAGGTTAGCTCAACATGACTTTGACTTTTGTCTGTGCTAGCTGACTCAAATGTAAAGGAACAAGCGGAGCTGTCAAAAATGCTTCGAATAAGACACGGTTGATTGTCAGCTTTGGAAGTTATTGCAAGAGTGTGCGATGAATATAGACGCAGAGACGCTTGCAGTATACTAGACAAGCGAAGCTGATGACAGTCTTAATAGCCATGGGCGTGGCCAGCAGCTTTCGTCTGCCGCACGCTTCGTCTGCCTCGGGTGATAACTGTAGTTTGCAGCCGCATATACGATGTTTTGATATCGAATTTTCCCTCATTAAAAGTGTAGGAGACAGCGAGTCTGTCGCAATGCCGTCCAGCAGTATTACATTCACGGACTTTTGAAGTTGATATGGGCTCGATCTGTGAAAATCTTTAAGCTCCTAGAGCCTTTGTGCACACTTGCGAGCTTCAAAAGTGGCACATCCGAAGCACGCTGCGCTTGCTACATGCGAAATAGTCCCACTCTTTGGGAAGTTGCGGACTTTGACTTTGCTGGGAATTAATGACATGTCTAGTTGAGAGGGACAAGGAGTCCTTCACTATGGAGTCGATGGTTCCACAATCGCTGAATTTTTATTAATTTCCCCACCTAAGGCTAAAGCCCAGGTACCAGGGGCTTGTGATTTGAGACACATTACCCCTCCCTACGGCAAGGGACGCCTCCAGCAAGTGCCACATAGAAGACAGCTGTTCCATTCTTATCTGTAGAGTCATCTCTCTTTGTCCTATGGACTTTCGTCGGCTGCGTATTTCTTCGTCGTAAAAGGATAAAGTCTTCGCCGTTGATCAATCCCTTTGTGGGATGCGGCACGCATTCTACTTCCATTCAGAATCGTAGTGGCTTATTGAATGCGATGTGGCCTATACAATGACTTGGGGCCAGCCGATGTACAAGTCAGTGTTATTATCCTCCCAGACAAATCTTGGTACCAATCTAGCGTCCCCGGAGGGTAGAAGGCTTGGTCGGCTTAAGCGTGAAGTCGACCCGAGATATCCTAGGTCGCGCGAGTGTGAGCAAGCACTTGTCACTACACCACCTCCTGCCCTTCCTCGTCGTATGCACATATAATACCCAAAACTAATTAGAGAGCAAGGGCCTTGTTCAGGGTATAGTTTCTCTTGCTTTTTGTAATCAAGCTAACATGCAGCTTACAAGCATAGATGCAGTACTGCAGTTTTCTGGAACCACTTGAACTGTTTAACAACACTTCACCGCTTCACAGTTATTATAGTGAAAAACCATTGTAGCAGTATATGCAGCTCCCCAGTGGAGTATAAGTGAAAAGTTTAATTTATGAACATTAAACAAAGACGTGATCATCCACTGATTCGTTTCAGGATCGAGCAGAGCCAGCGTCAGCTATACGCAAAAGGCAGAACGAGATGCTTGCTGATGAATACGTGGTACGAGGCGTGGAACACATGCGATCTGGTAATCGTGAAGCGGCCATCGTTGTGCTCAATCAAGCATTGGATATCAACCCGCATTGCGTCGAAGCGCTAGTGGCAAGAGGCGCAGCGTGAGTGGAGCTCTTCTGTCAAGCATCAGCGACGTCGTGCATAACAGAATGGTGTAGAAGCAGATTCCTGTTTGACCTCGTAGTTGTCTGGAACCCGGGGTGAAGGAAGATCACGGAGATAGTAGCGACATCGGTCCTAAAGGGGTTTTCAGGAGAAATCTGGACCGGGAGTGTTGCCCGCAGTCCTGGCGTCCCTTTCCCGGGCCATTTTTGCAGTGTTTTTTGGTGCAGTTTTTGTGAGAAAACAACCATCAACGGATTTTCATTCTGAATTTTTTTCCATACCTCAGTCTAGAGGTGAGACCATTGATCTGGTGATAAATGCATAGGGCCGCTTCAGAATTCGATTTGTGACCCGAGGAACATTGCACAAGCGCATGATGCGAAACGTATACATGAAAGCCACAATTTCTTTGCGTCGTCTTCCCCAGATACTCGACAAATGGACACTATGTGCTGGCTGAGTCTGACTTTGATCTGGCGCTCTCACTGATGCCAACTCACTCAAATGCTCGTAATTACATGGTGGAAACACTCGTCAAATATGCTTCACTGTGAGTTTTTTCTCGTTGTGTATACAGAAAGGAAGAGTGATGTAGCACAGGCATGCGGTTCAGTACGTTACCTGTCAAGGGATAGATGACCCATGCATAAAGTCACATAGTGCACTCCTTATCCGTGAGCCAGGGTAGGCGTGGCATTTGAACATGGCTCGAAATTGGTGAATCGTGGAATATTTCAATCTATGACAACTGTCATCTTGTTCTGTATTGGACAGAGACACGACAACAATTGTGTCAAGATGAAAATATCTCACCAGAAGCATAGACACCTTCAGGTTAAGTTGAAGCATGCAGCCACGCCTACCCGATCTCAGGGATTTCGAGTATACGGTAATGACGCCTTGAGACGTCATTGACAACGATGCGATTCATGTTTCCTTGTCATTGAGGGCAAGTTGCACACTCAGGTCCGAGGTCAGTCCTGGCCATGTGCGACGCGAATTAGTCCACAGCTGCAATAGCGTGACACTCTCTGCTCAAAAGCTGTTGGGAACGAGGCGGTGGTAGTGGTAGCAGGGTGCCGTCACCAAACTCCGCCCGCGCTATCCACGCCCGTATCCAAGGTGCTATACTTGCTTCAGTGCCAAGGTCACACAGTGAAACACGTACGAAGTGGTAGAGCAGAACTAGAAGTGAGAACGCGCAGACAACAGCGCGTTTAGCTTTCGTTAGGCGCATGAATGGTGTGCAGCAGCGCGGGCGGAGTACGAGACGGCACCTAGGCATTGCTACCCCTCAGCCATCTTCCCTTGCACTTTTGACCGGAGAAAGTCGCACACCCACCACAGCTGCAGGCCCATTCGCCCCACAGAAATCAACAACTAGATCCACTCAGTTTTTAACAGAAACTGCCCTGTGCTACACCTGCCCCAAGAAGCGTTGCACGTCTGAACGCTCCGAAATCATCTATATTTATTATTTTATTATGTCACGCTATTAGGCTCAGGAGTGGGAGCATTTTGGCATTCGCTGGTTTTTATTGCTGTTTCATGTCAACTAGGAGGTTTTACTGAAGTGAATTTATAGGTCTCCAAAAGGCGGTCTAACAAGCTTCGCTGAGTACCATGGGTCCCACCCCACGTCAAGCCAGAAACCGCGGCTTTTATTGTTTTTATTTCATTTATTACAAGTTGTTCTGAAAGTGAATCAGTTGCATGACGTTCAGTTGAATTGAGTTTTAGGCTGGAAGTGCAAGGTGATTTGGAAAATGCAAAAAGTAAATTCGAGAAAGTTCTTCGGATAAAGGAGGACAGACGAGCCAGAGCAGCTTTAGCCAAAATGGATAGAAAGAAGAGAAGCCCATCAGTAGAAATTTGTAAGTTTGTTTATATTACATCGATGAGTTTTATACAGCTAAATAGTCTGAGAATGATTTAAAGCAATCGGACACGAGAACTATATCCATGAGGAGGGGCGTTAACGTTTTTCGCGGGTAGGAGAGGGGATACCATTTTCGTGACTTTGGGCGGGGTCCTGCTGGCAGCACCATTTCACTCGTCACGATGTGCCCTCTTCTCAAATTACGCAACTGAGTAGCTCAAGTCGAAAAGAATGAACACCGTATGAATGGTTCATAGTCTTGTACGCTGCCGACGCTGGGGCGTCATGGGGCTGGGCGACGTCAGGTCTCTAGGACTGAGCTTCTTCAACAAACCCATTCCTAGGCGTGCAGAAGAGCAAAGTGAGCGTGGTCTTGTCCCCTCCGACCCTTCCCATCAGTCCTTTTAACACGTTGGCGACATTGCGTCCCACTGCTGGGACGCACCTTTTTTGCCGCGTGGGACATTGCGTCCCACTGCTGGGATGCGGCATGGGTAAAAAACCAATTTGAAGACGTTTCGAATTTTCAACAGCTGCATATTGTCCATGAAGGCATTGTAGAATATACAGTAGCTGTAAACCATGCAGCTGTTTTCATTGAGAGTATTTTACGAGGAGACAAACGAAAGCAGTTTCTAGGAAAAAAAAAGATAATTCTTGGATATATAGAACTGAAGCTCCACATGCAGATAGCTAATGTGATAAGGTAACTTTCAACAATGCCAGATCTGAATCGAATCCAAGCAGTTTTACCACTTCCCGCGAAAATATTCCTTTTTTTGCGACCTTGTTCCCACGCTCCACGTGAATGAGGCGGGAGTATTCCATGAAATTTCAGGGTTTATCTTGAAAGTAAACAAGAATAGCGAAGCCTTACTAGCTTCTGCAATGAATTTCTGACCATTCTTCAATTTTTTTTGGCGTATAAACGCCCTAGCATTTATGCGCATTTTTCGGAAATAGGGAAAAACTGCTTTGTCCCACGCGGCAGACACGCGAAAAGGCGCCTTGTCGCCAATGTGTTAATGACCTTTTCGCTAGCCGTTGTTCGCCCTAAAAGCAAAACATTTGTGGTTTCCAAGCACGTCAAATTTTTGGTTTCATAAAAATCGACAATTTTTGTTTTAGTGGAAGATGACAGTGACAAACCAAAGTCGAAAAATCCGAAGCGGAGCGATATTGAAGAGGAAAAGAGAAAACGCCGACGTACTCAAGAAGCTGAAAGGGAACGAAAACGAGAGCGTCACGATAATCGCGAGAAGTTGCGGGAGATGGAAGAATTCATTAAGGCACTACGAGAAAAGAAATAATAGCGTCAGTTACTCGAATATAGGCTTTCCTTCTCGCCACTGTTGTTAGTCTGCGCTGTCTTGGATGTCTTCCTTCGTTGACGTATTCGGGCATGAGCTCTTTATATCAGGTATTGTTTGGTTATTTGTTTTGCTTTGTTGCAGCATTTTTGAATGGGTATATGTTCCAATAAAGTGTTGTTTTATCGATTGTCATGATCAGTTTGGAGCCACCTGGTTTGTTCCTAGAGTATCGTTGTGATTTGTGATTTATTTTATGTCCGCTATACTCCTTTGCTTTTTGTGTATAATTTTGTCTGGAATTTCCAGGATGTCGTGTGCGAATCACCATATGCACACTGGACGATGTTTATGCATCCATTCATCCTTACAGTTTCTTGATCTGGCAATGCAATCGCTTCTACTGAATCACGGTCTCATACCGTGTCCTCTATCTTTGGTTCCGGAATCGCCACCGCCGGGTTTGGTAAAAACCCTGAATGGGATCGAAAAAAGTAAGCTTTGATTTGTCAAGCTTTCTGTCAGGGTTAAGCGCTATTGTAAAATTGAAAAAGGGGGATGTGAACCTTTGCGAGACATGCCACGTCCACATAGTCACCTACGCTCTCCAAGTCGAGCAAAAACTGAAGGAGAGGTATCGATCCAGCTTCTTGGGAGAAACGCCAGGATTTCGTCTATACTTTTCTCTCAGAGCACCGATCAAAAGTATGAACGTAGTTTAGGGTTGAGTCCAGCGAAATGAGGCCACTAGCACGGTGAGAGAACGCGCCTTGGAGGTTCACTGGCTGCGCTGCGTCCCCTTCGGTTAAAGGGTTCTTTGTCAACCCTACAGTGCAGTTCTCAGCGGACGGTGGGGCGGTCCTAAGGCCACGCTGGCGAGCGGCCCGATAGTGGCCTATTGGTGGAAAGCCGCAAAAACCTTTCCTCTGCCTCTCTGATACTGACTCTGCCCTTCTGCATCGCGATCAAATCGCTCTTACGAGGCTGATTCCTGGCCGATTTCCGCAGCTTTTGCGCAGATTCAGCTCGTTAAAACTGATATTTTCCGACCTTCGATTTCAATGATTTGAAGGTGAGTATTCGTACTGAAATTATTTCTCATTTTGCATGAGTTTATCACGAGATTTCTAAAAACAATTGTTTCGCCCTTCTGTTTCAAAGTATCTCGCATTTTTTCTTGAATGTCCTTATTTCTTTTATGCGATAGTTTCAGTAAGAATACTCACCTTCAATCACTGAAGTCGAAAGTCGAAAAATTTCAGCTTCAACAAGCTGAATCTAGCAAAAATGCGGCAGGAATCAGCTGATAGAGAGCGCCAGCAATTATCGATCGTAAGAGTCCAGAGCGGAAGAGTGAGTAGACAGCGCGGCGGCGTGTGTTAGAGCGCAGAGTGCAGAGTAAGAGACGGAGAAGCAATGGTGATAATTTCCTGAAAATTTTCGCCCTTCCATCGACACGCAATCACCGGGACGCTCGCCAGCGTGGTCGTAGGGAACGCCCCACCGTCCGGTGAGCGCTCCACTGTACATGCGCTCGCACCCTGAGGGTTCAGATGTATTTTCTCATAGCATCTACTGGTCCAATAGTTGAAGGGAGAAGAGGGAAGAGAGAAGGAAGGAAGGAGGAGGAGGCAGGCTTAGGGACATACAAGTATGCTGAGACGTGTGCTCCTCCCCCAATCACGCTGGCGCTGTCACGATTCCAGCCGCGTTTTATTGGGGTTTATGAGCGCGTAAAAGCCCTGTGATATCACAAGAGCAGGAAAAAAGGGTAGTGAGAACGGTGGTGAACCTAGTCAGCAGTCAGTTTTTGCAGTTCATTTGGTGCACGTTCAGGTTCGAGAGGTACTACGTGGCGTTTTTCGCTCCAAATATCGTCGATCCATACGAGAAGTGGCTATTTGCGTGGGACCCAATCCCCACCGTATCAACCACGCTTATAGTACGTTTGAAACTTTTCTTCTTCCCTACTTTTGAGTTTTCTGTACTATAGATAGCCTTGGCGGTGCTTTTCATCACTTCAAAATTTTCTTTTCTTTCCAGAATGCCGGTTTCCAATATGTGGTGTTTTTTTTTCAATATGTGATGCAGAAGACTCGCATGACGAAAACTGTGGCGCATCATGCAGTGCACTGTCAGATGTGGAAAAACGCCGCATTAATCGACAGTTGTTTTTGGTAGGTTGTCTGGTTGACTTTGGCTGCGCTGCCGCATGACGTTTCCAAGCCGTCGCCGCAGTTGTTGCTGTCAGAGCGCGCTCTCATACTTGACTATCTGCTTGGTTGCAGCGGTTCACCGATTCGCAATGGAGCGCTTTTGTCGTGATTGCACGGTCCAAGCGGTCGGATTGTGAAGGATGAACGTGGCCTCAGTTGTTACACTTCGCACACTACTGGCTTGTATATTCAAGGACTCCCTGGTTACTGGCACTATTTTAGGCTTTCCCTCCTGAACAGGCGCGTCACTCGGGCCAGCGAATGTTCTTTTTTATTGTTCTTTTTTATTCGGGGATACGACGAGTTAGTTAGGGAAGATATTGAGGAAAGGTGAGGACATTTTTGCGGTGCAATCAAAACCTTGAAATTTTGATTTTTCAGTGAAGTGTTCTTCCATGAAGATAAATGTAGTATTGTCTGTAATTTGATCATGAGGGATGTTCGACACAACTTTCGGAAACTACTGAAGGTTTGCATCGATGGATGCGTGTGGTCCCGTTCATTGTGCATGGAAAAGTATGAGCTGATTCGTACAGATTGTCTGGATACAAACTGATTATTTAAAATCTCTAGTTTTATATTGGTTATTGTTAGCATTTCTCATGTACCTCTTTTTCTGATCTCAGGAGAGGTTTCCTCGGATGTCGTTCAAAGCGTTTTTGTGCTGAGCTTTCAGATTGTCTATGGTTTTTATTTGGTGATATTGTCATTATTGATATTTTAGTACTCGATATGTAATGATTTTTTTTCGTTGACTCCTCGACCAAATTATTACTGGCCATTTCTATTGCAGTTCACTTGACTATCACTTGGGATAATACTGAATATCTGGGAATTTAGACCTCATATACCTCCATTTCTTTCTTGATTACTCTATTGACGTGGATTATTGTGGTTATTGAATGTCGTCGTCATTCCTCATTAGAGGCTCCAAATGCGGCGTTATTGCATTTGAAATCACTCAGTGAATGTAAAATTATTGTTTGGATCTCGATATCTTGTAATAATGCCATAATAAACGTGAAAAATGCCGCAAGGTTTTCATCGTATATCACTGTGGTTGACGGGATCCAGTGGCATTTATCGTTTATCAGATGGGTACCAAAAGGGGTGCCCTAAACTAGTGTGACGGGGGAAAGATGACCATATCTGCTATTTCTCTAACATAAGCCTTTACGAACTCCCTTTCTTGAAGGACGGACGTGCAAGACAATCGTGATTCCGCCGCGACGTCGCCCGCGGACAGATCGTGCGGGGTCGGGGGCGTGTGACTTGCTGCGACATGTACCCAGTTGTCTATTGGCGCAGCGACACTAGCTGTGAATTCCGGTTTGGATAAGATTATTAAGCCTGGCATGAACTGAAGCGTTTTCTGTCCCTCTTTAAAGCGATAAAGCTTAAAGGGCCGTATAAGAGAACTAGTCTCTTGCGTGCGCGGCGCCTATCGCCCTTTCCAGCGCGACATTTTACGATTGTCTTGTCACGTACCGTTTTGAGAGAGCTGGGACTAGCAGAGAATGGGTTGAACTGAGCTTGATATAAACTACTATCCCCTTCAATGGAAATAGCGCCAAAAATGACAACTCATGTGGTTAGCCCTGGCCTCATGCAGTATGTAAAGTCCATAAGTACAGCGTGCGAGAATGCTCACTATGCTAACAGAACACTTTCCGGCTTAAGCATACTGAAGCGCTACCCAAGTTGAATCAGTTGGGTCCCGGTGCGAATGCCGCGCATGTGACGCGCCAATAAGTTGTACTATGGCACACCCCTTTGCTTTTTCATTCTCCTCTCCAGTTTACCAGAAGTGCGAATGCGTCCTCAGACACGTTCAGACTGCACGGGCGTCTTCAAGCAGCGTTCAGACATCGTGACGCGCTACCATTGCAACCGTGCTCTAATGCTGTAGAAGGGAATGCAGTCTCAGACAGGTATCGATCCGTGCCGGACGCTACTGTTTTGAGTTGATATGAGAGAATGAGAGGGTACTCGTTGCCTAACCACCGCCGGTCTGGTACACGCCTATTCTTCTATACTCTCCCAAAGCAGCGACCCCGCACTGTTAGCGCGTCGACGCGCGTCATCGCTAAGTCTGAACACTGTCATACCAGTGTCAGGCGAATTATGCTAGGACTACCTCGTTCAGAGTGCATTGACGAACAGAAAATGGGCGCAGTTTAACCTAGATGCGGGCAAAGTCCTTCAACTACCCTTGCCGGGTTGTTTAGGTCACTGAATTCGCTGAAGCCCTGTGATCTGTCCACGTCTACAGTTATCATGTGTTGAAGGCATTAACTAAGAACATGCTAGAATATATCGAAATAAACACAAGCGAGGTATAATTTTAATGCTGGTACTCTATGAAGAAAATGGATGATCCAATTTTCAAAGATTTTTGTGTGTCTTCATGTGCCGATGAAGGTTACCGGATTGTGTGAAACGCATGAAGCATATATCGCATCCGTACGGTTTCTGACCTAAATGAATTGGCACGTTGACTGAATTAATTTGGTTCTAAGTAGTTCAAGTAGGATGAGTTTATACTTCGCGACTCGAGCGATTCAGTCGCGCTCTACTACTAGTCGTTGGATACTAACCTAACCTGACTCTCCTCTCTGTCATACATTCTTGCTGCTTCTTCAGAATTCGTGTACAGACAGTTAACTTCCATCTGATCATAGAAAAGAAAAATTAATTAGACTTTCACGTTCAAATTGTCGCACCGATTTCACGCGTTTTGTCGGCAAGCGACAAGACACTCGGAGTCGCAAAGTATAAATGCACTACAAGCGCATGTTTTTTGAGAAGGCATTAAGAGTCGCGGCAAATGGTTCCTTCCTCTCCCGCCTCTCCCCCCCCCCCCCCCCGCCAACTACTTTAACGCCGAAACCTGCCGCCAAAGCTGAGCTCTTAACATCAGGAAAAGGTTAACGGGGAAAGAATCGCATTTGTTAAGTGAAGTAAAGTGGGACGAAATAAGCGCGAAGGATGGACCCGCAAGAATACAGCTTTGGTTAGGCCATTTTGGATTAGTTAGGCTATCGTAACCCGGAATGGCGTCTAATAAACTTGCGAATTACTGTCGTCGTCCGCAGGCTTTGAAGCGGGTCACCATGTGGTTGTAGATGACGAATCAAATTTTCAGTCAATGAAGCAGCATTATAGGCATACGCCTGTGTATATTTTTCCATCGTCAGACTAATATTGACTGTATCATGCTTGTGTGTGGGGTCTGGGTGTCACTACCCACTGAAAAGGCTACAGTAATGTTGCGTGAATTTACATATTTCAGTTACGGGAACGCTCAGAAGCTTCGAAAGGAATGCAGCTATGAGTTATAGCCACCTGTATGCGTCCGGAGATGTTTCGTCAATGTGGAGCTGTCCGTGAACTTCTTGTCGCAGTGGCTACACTGATATGGCCGTTCGTTGGTGTGCGTCCTGTGAGTAGGCGTGTTTATTTTTTTGTCGTTTTAGCTATTTTTATCGGCATAGATTGAAATAGAGCGTTCAAGAGACTGAGTCGTTTTTACATTTGTCGGGAGAGGGTGTATTTGGTAGCCGGGATTGGGCGAGGGGGTAATCTTATTTGAATGGTCACAACTTTGAATCACCCTTGCATGGGAGCCAAAGGTTTCCAAGCATTTCGGTCGCAATGACACTGAAGCAATTTGGGTGTTTTTTTTTGATGGTCAAAATGTCCGTCGCATCCAAAAATCATACCTGATATACCTCTAAAGCTTGACGGTCTCCAGAAGAAAGTAATACAAAGTTTCAATACGTTTCTGGTTTCGCAGCAATTAAGGCAGCGTTCAGACTTCACGACACTATTACGCTTTGGTCGCGCGTTCGACGTGATCAATGCAATCCGCGCATCGCGTCGAAACGCGCGACCGAAGCGCTGTCACGAAATCTGAACGCCGCCTTATGCAATGAAGAAGTTGTTGTGGTCGTTAAAAGCATAAAAGCTCTCATCTGGTTCACAATTACCCCGTTCAAACACGCCTCAAGATATTTCTGGAAGCTAAGAAATGTTCAGAGGAAGTGCATAAAATAGTAACAATTGACAGCCCGTGAACGTTTCTGTCGTATTAGGAAAGATCCTTTCTTACAATGCCTAATTTTGCATTTTCCAGTCCTTTTGGCTCTTGTTTTTGCCTTTTCTGATAATGCAAGTATTAAATTTTGCCTGGTATAAACAGTATTTGGTTGAAATCCGTGAATGTTCTCCAACTGGTGGATGTCCTTATAGGATCAGAAAAATCCGGCAATTGCTCAATTCTTAGAGGATAAGCTAATTAATCCGTAAAGACGGTAATCGCTTATCTCAACCACGCCTATACGTGCGAGGTGCCTGCTGGTTGGTTACTATGGCTACCGTACTCACTAGGCTACCGTAGGCCGCGATATGAGTCAGGTTCACTGTTTCCAAAATGAAGTGGACATCTCAGTTGGGGTAGAAATTCGACCGGGGTGGGATTTGGGCCCATACTTGCACACAAAACATTCGTTTTGGAACCAGCTTCCTTTGAATTTTCGTTTTCCTGCAGAATTTGGCGCAGTTTGGCTTAGTGGAGCATTTCCCTGCTTTCCATCGATCACCGCAGATGCCTCCTATGGAGAACGGTGAATTCCTGTGAGGTTTTACAGATGCGGGACTTCGTTTCACACTTGACAAAAGTCTGCCGACTTTGTTGAGGTGTTATCATCAAAAGTAAATTAACAGGGACCAGCAAAAAAACTAGCCGATTAGAACAGTGGTCCTCCCCCGTTCTCCCTGAGCCGTCACCTCTACGAAAATATGGAGAGAGCATTGGGTGACTGTAGGTAGCAGATTTACCAAAAGAATCAATTCTACCTTCCATGTAGGTGACGAATAGTCCTCCCTTCCATCGGAAAAGGACATCTCTTGTGCGAGAAAGCAAGAGATTGCGAGAGAGAGCAAGCAAGAGAGAGAGAGAGAGAGAGAGAGAGAGTGGATATTTCAAGAAGAGAAAGTAAGATAAATAGAAAGGTTTACCTTCTATGGGTGACGAGCGATGAGCTTTGTGAAAATCGTCGACTGCACAGGGGACACGTAAAG